TCAACGGCGGTCATAAAATAAAATAAAACAAGTTACATCAAGGAGAAACTTGGGGTTTCACAATAGATTTAGGAGAACTAGCAAATGTGATGGAAATAGCGGAAAAGCCCCAGTTGATGATAGATGTAGAAATACAACGAAAATTGATTTTAAAAAGTTATAGAAATCGTTTTTAATGTAGAGGTTTATGAAGGCGTCACGTCGGTCCTCTCTCCTTGTCTTTGAAAAAAGCTCTTGAAAAAATATGCGGTATAGATATGATGTCTTAAAGCTTTGATATTTGCCATTTAAAGGGTGCAGCTAGACTTGATTTTAAGATAAAAACGCTTGGCCATATAGTGCTCATTTGGTAAAAGACTTTATAAAAATGGCAAGATAAATAACCCAGCCATATCACTAGATCTCAATCCTAACACGGATGCCCTTAAAAGCGTAATTTCTCCTTAGGTAACCAACCAGAGCTTAAAAATAGTAATGATTTATGTGGGCGATCTCTTACTACAGCAACACTAAATTATTTCCTTCATGCAATCACGATTTGGCACATTTATAATTTATTGCAAGTAATTTGTCATTTTGTCTAAGATTCTATGGCAAATATTTCATTATTTTCTAATCCGATAATTTTTACACATGATCTTGTGTGTGTTTAATGATTGTGTCATTGTACTATATGTTCTTATCTATTGTCTTAAAATATGTGTTTCAAAGAAATAATTCATTAAAACTTTGAAATTGAAAATTTCTCATTAGTATTCAGTTGAGAGTTTCGAAAGCTGGCGAATTATAGCTGAATTCATTTGTCACAAATGAGGAATAAGAGTTATCGAAATCAGTAATCTACCTAGTGAAAATTAACACTAGGTTTACGGGACGCGTCATTTTGACGCATGTCGAATTTCATAAGGAAAATTACAAAATCCGTTCGCATTTTTATTCTATCTCTTGTGATGACTTTTATCCATTGATCGAGGTAAATATACAAAGTCTATTTTCTTCAAAGGCGTTGAAATATTGAAATTCTCTTTGTGGTATTTACGGATATGAGTCAATTTGACGCGATCGTAATTTAGACAAAATTTTGAGTAAACATGCGAACATCACATCAATAATAAATAGGAATGTACCGACAATACTTCGATCCGTTGTCCGATATCGTTATCTCAAATGAAACAAGCGATAAACAACTGTTGCCGAAAAGCAAAAATAGAAAGAACAAACACAGAATGTCAATTGATGTTAGATTTTGAAGGTTTCAGTTGCTTAGTTCGAGTACTGAAAAATAAAATACTGGAATATTTCATAAATATATATATCATATTTTCATTTTTTTTTCTTATAGTATATAATTACATTGCTTTCTAAGTGCTGAGATGCCAACTGCTCCGGACACACCAAAATAATTAAAAAACGGTAAATAACTACTAAGTAAATTTTGCAAATCGTTTGTTCGTTCGTTTATTCGTTGTTGTAGAACTGGGCATCTAAGGCCTAAATGGCCCTTGCAATTTTTGCAAATACTAAGTGGTGAGTTATATGAGTCTACGAATTATTTAGAAATAGTGGTTTATAAAAATCTACTAAATTGAATTTATTAAACCAAGAATCACAATTGATAAACTACCACTTTAAAATATATATTTGCTGTCCGGAGCAATTTGGCATTTCTGTAAGTGCTGTTATATGTATTCGTTCATGCGTCAAATTGTCGCATGTTCGTAGAGATAGGTTTATAAGAAACGTCTGTAAACCCAGTGTTAAACCTGTGTAAATTAAGCATTCTGTCTCTTTACATAAATTTAGTAGAGCCTCCCTGACAGAGCGGTATTGCCCGAGAAACGCTGTGCAAAGCGTGGAGGTAGCGGGTTCGAATCCCGCTGTTACCCTGGATGTACCTTCGTGCTGTAATTCTCTGTATTGTACTATCTGTCTTTCTATTTGACAAAGGTTTATAAGCTTAAATAGAGCACACATGCCTGCAAATGTATGTAAATTCAATAAATTTAGTAAAAGAACATTTTGTTCTGTATTTTGCAGGAGATATTGAATGCTTACATAACGGCAGTTTTCACTGCTCTGATCACTTTTGCATCCCTATGAATGAAAAATGTGATGGAGTTAAAGATTGTGAAAATGGGAAAGATGAAATTGGATGTGGTAAGTTAAATATCATAATTCTTCTAAAAATAATAATTTTCTGTTCAAGTACAGGCTTAATACAGTCCTTCAAAAAATTAAAAATTGATGTTAATACTCTAATAAATTTCAAAGTTATTTATTTTTATTAACCTTCACTTTAAATTTAAAATTTCTCTTCTTCTAATTTCTTGAATAGATTTGTTTATTGAAAAAATTAAATATAGTGGTGAATATACAAGCCTGCCAACTACTACGCTTTTTGCAAAATATTTTATAAGGTGGTCAGGGGTGAAAGCGAGACGGAAAAGAGGAAAGGCTGGTAGTAAAACCATTTCAGTTATAGCTAGTTTTGGGGAGGAGTTTACTTATTCTTTTTCTAAATTTTTCAACAATATCTACTTTATTTTGGAAAAGAAGCAGTTTTATATATATGACAGAATTATAAAAGAAATCTTGATTGTTACAGATATTTCATTTTTTTCGAAAAAAATGCTGCAATGAAATGTTTTACGTACCAAGTGTTTCTCTTTTCCGTCTTGCTATATAAGGGCTTTCACCCATGAGGGTGGTAGACATTTAAAAACCTTACCACGAAATAACTATAACAAAGTGGCTTTGCATATAAACTTTTAAAACATTTATATGTAGTGATGTGGAAAATAAATGTAAAAGAATAAAAAATAATTCAGTAAAGCATTAACTTAGCTACCAGTAAAATAAATTTTTATAAAAAGTGAAGAAAGTAGGCTGCCTTGGATATAAACTTGAAAATTATATATTATTTCTACATTCTATTACCGCTTTTTTTAAAAGTTTGAGGACATTACAAACTCTGGAAAAGATGTCAACTGTCAACTTTGGCCGTTACTATGCTTCCGGTGGCTTCGCCCATACTCAGTGAACCTGTACCAACCAGCCAAGATATATGAAGTGTGCAGAAATGCACTACTCATACCAGCTTCTCCCGCCATGTGCTGCAACTGCGAGGGAAGCCACACCTCAAATTTCCTTGGGTGCGAGGCCCACCCCAATCGAAAAAGACAACAGACTAAGGATACACCTGCAACTTCAGCTCACCGTCCAGTCTCACTTGTGAAAGAACTGCAGGAGCTCCTGAAAAATCAAGAAGTGATCAGTTTACTTCAATCTTTACTCAAGGGGGTCTCCCCCTCCGAATGATGACCATCTTACCACAACACATGCTGTACTCTACTGAGGACCTAAAACCTTTTGAATTTACTTCAGAACTTTTTTGATACATATGACTTCCTAGCATATGGTAACACAGATTCGACGAATCAGTTAGTGGCGCTTCGCGCCAAACAATGAGATATCCTTAATATCCAGCATCAACTACTTTGCTTTCTGTTAAAGATCTTTTAAAAAGGCTGGGAATTACAAAGTTTATCTTGCAAAAGTTGTTAAATTTGTTAGCCTTAGATAGGTGGCCAAAGTTGCATTTTAGATGGCCTTTCGAGATTTTAGTGGTGTAAAAAATAACTTGAAATCAAATCATCCAGCAATTCGTCTGCCTAAAATGTCCTAAATATGATCGATTGCGTTCATGTCCGGTCGTTTGTATTATTCTTTCCTCCTAAAGGAAATCATTCATTGAGTGAGCACGGCGTGACATGCAATTGTTGTCTTTTAGCAGGACCTCCAATGCTGCTGTGTAAGGGATTACAATAGGTCTCAGGATATGATCCCTATATCGGTAACCGGTCAGAGCTCCATTTCGAATGATATGGAGATCTGTGCGCCTATCAATGGAGATGCCAGCATACACCATCACTCCTCCACTGCCAAATCTTACACTTTCGTGCACGAACACATGATTGTTTCTCGTACTACATTCCCTCCAGATGAAAATACGCCCATTAACCGGATGAACAGAAAAACAGGACTCATCTGAGAAAATAATTCTGAGTTCATTCATTTCTCCTCCAGTTCATATGCTCTGTGGCCCACTCCCTACGGGCGGACGTGACGGTGTGCCTTGGTGTTAACATGACACACACCATTGGACGGTGAACATACACACTCACAGAGTGATGGTGGTTTAGAAAAGCCTTGTGAAAAAACTGTGGTGCCAGTAGCCGAGCGAAGGTGCTGTTGAAGAAGAGTGGCATTCTTAATTCGTTGTCTTCGAGTCATTATTTATCGCTATAGCGATAGATAACGGTCTGCATTGGGAGTTGTTGCACGTCTACGTCATTGCTCTGATTTTCAGCATGCATTTCCAGTCACACTTCGTGAAATCACACTCCTATAACTTCTGCTAGTCCGCCTTGTGTTTGCCCCCTCCCCATCTTAACTGCCAACAACGCTCCAAAATTCTGATTCGGCTAAATGACTTCATTTAGACCTCACACTCATTGAAACGATGCGCTTACTGAACGTTGGTTACTATATTTAGCTTTGTTTTATATAACGTTGAAAGCCAAATCAAATTCACTGCCACTAAAGCGTCATCTTTGACGTCAAACTAATAATTTGCGTACTGCAAAGTTTGAAAAAACAGATGAAAAATTTGCATCTGTGTCTTAGATTTTATTCAAAAAAGTAATTTGCTTACACCGTTATTTTATACAAGACTTAAGATATCTTTTAATTTTTTTGAGCAGTGTATATTGTTTTCTTACTTCTAGGGTTACCACGGGTGACTAAAAGTTATGACTAATGCAATTCAAAATTTCATTAAAAGAAATTTTAATTAGGAACTTTAATAGCATATTTTCTTCCGTTTTCTATTGAAAGTTAATGTAAAGATTCACGATTCATGAAGATTGCATGAATTCTGTGTTTGCCACCGATGGCGGCAATAAACCGATTCGTCGGAATAAGGAGACGATGTATAATTGGGGAAGTTAAAAATGTCTAGTGGAAATGAGAATTAATGAAAATAAAAGGTTTAAAATTGGTCTTATGCATTGTAAGTAGATTAATCTCTTATTCTTTAAATTGAGGTGGGAATATTGATTTAGGATTGGTTTTAAGTAGTTACGATTGAATTACTAAAAAGGTAATAAATAAATGAAAGTGAATTGAATTTCTACCATTTTTTCGCTTTTTAAGTCGCCTGTGACATTCCTGTTCTTTTCAACCATTACAGTAGCAGAGATGCCAACTTGCTCCGGGCAGCAAATATATATTTTAAAGTGGTAGTTTTGTGATTCTTGGTTTAATAAATTCAATTTAGTAGATTTTTATAAACCACTATTTCTGAATAATTCGTAGGCTTATATGATTCATCACTTCATAGTACTTTAGTCATGCTATACCTTCTAAAATGCAAGCAAAAATAGTCAAATATTTGCAAAATTTACTTTGAAGTTATTTACCCTTTTTCTAATTATTTTTGCGTGTCCGGAGCAGTTGGCATCTCTGCAGTAGACAATATTTTTCATATTATTTACCCATCTCACTGACTGTTACGAGCATGATGACTGAGCATAGGCAATGCTTGGCTCAAAGAACCAATCTCCATTTGACTAGTGTTTTTGGAGAATTTGAAAGAAAGAGTTGATTTATGCACCAGTAGATACCAACTACTCCGCTTTCTGCAAAAGCTTTAATAAATTGGTAGCGAATTAAATAGTAAAGCTTGCTGAATAAGGATATTTACAACCCCTCTTTAAAAGTGCCACCACGAGATAACTGCCATAAAGTTGCATTCCATTTGATTCTTTGATATGTAGTGGCGGAAAAATTACTGGAAATGGAAAGTACTAAACTAAAATCTAACTTAACTTTCGTTACCACTAAAAAATATTAGTTTCAAAGTGGAGCATGTTGACTTCCCTAATTGTTGTACCCTCCAACATTAAAGGTTTGTTAAAATTATTTCTTATTGTGGTAGAGAGCTTGAGCAAAAATTTAAATACGCAAGTTGTTATAAATTTTTTTATCAGATTTTTTTTCTAATGCCCGCCTGTGTTAACATCCGTCAATTCAGGCATCTACAGGGCAATTTTGTTGACCTCTCTTACAAGGGCACCCTATTAAGTGGGTCAACGTCGCTCCCACAGTAAAGACGTATAGTACAGAGAAGGAAAGAACATCATTGCCTTGCCCGGGATTCGAGCCCAGAACCTTTCTGATGCTCCCTGCCCTCTATGCAGACCGGTCGGCTTATCAGATTTACCAGATTTACGCCCAGAGGCATTTGACCTTTGATAGGTCAATTTAAACTATGTTTTAATAGTGGTGGAAAAACTTCCTTTAAATCTAATTTATTAAAATTTAATCTTTCCTATCAATAGAAGAAAAAAATTATGAAACGACGGAAATTCTGTAAAAGTTGAATATGCTTATTAAGCTACCTTGTCTTCCAGTAGCCTCATTGTTTTTACTTTATTGCATCGTAAATTGATGATGGATGGAACAAAGATTTGTATATACTGCCTTAGCCTAAGGATTTGCTTATGAATAAACTATAGTTCAAATTTTAAAAAGTCACAGCTGCCTTCTTAGATATACGGTGTGGGAAAATTTTCAATTTGCTCTAGAGCTTGTGCGAAGTGTGTGAATTTCAGTTACGTAAAAAAGTTAAATATTGTCACTATCTCAATCGCTTTATATACAATATATAATAAACAATAGTTTTTATCATGATGTTAGATTATATTTCTCCTAATTTACTTACTATAACAATGTTTGTATATCTATGCGTAGTATATAATTTGTTTTATGTTACAGAAACAGGTATATTAAATGTTAAAGGTGTGACGGAGGCACGTAGGAAAGAAATAACATGGATAAAAAGCAAGCGATCTTCTTCTTGGGGATGGCATGAAAATACTCCACGAGTTCTATTTTCTCTCTTCTTATCAGGAGGAGTCAAATTTGACGGAACAATCCATGAAGAAGAATTAATGGCAAAACAAACAGAGCTTAAGACTTCTATTTCTCTGCTTAAGTAATAGTCAAATATCTTTTTAAAAAAAAACACTTCCTCAAAACTGCAAATAATGATATTTTCAATTTGATAACAATATACTTTTTAAAAAAATATTTTGTTTAGCCACATTTTTCTTTATTTTCTAACATTAAAAAGTAAACATTCCTGCTACCGTCAGTTCTTAGCCGAAGGTGTCACGTTGGTTTAGGTTCTACAATTTCATGACCAACGGCTAGAATATGGCACCCATCGATCTGAAACTAAGTGAGCTTCAAGCCATCACAAGCCATCGTACTTCAAAATGACTCTTTAGTGCCGGTCAAGGTTGAATCAGCCTTTCATCCCTTTAGTAGGTCGATAAATGAGTACCAAGCATGCTTGGGAACTAAACACTGTGGGTTTCGCGTACGGCTGACCACCTAACCGGTACATCTGCTCCTGCACCCCAGAGCCCCAAGGTCAAGAAAACTGAGATGGGCACAGTAGGCTTTGGCCCTCTATGGGCTGTCGAGCTACTGAGTTTAGTTTTAGTTTAGATATGTAAAGAATCAAGTAAAAAGAAAATCAACAAAATAGTTAATAGAATGAGAAAAACGTTAACACTTTACAGATACGACACTTTAAACGAGCTCATTTTTTACTAAGAAGCAGACAATTTTTGTTTCTGCACTTTAACCCTTTAATAGGTCATTTATTTCTAGCAAAGGTAAATTAAAGTATTTTTGGAATTGAAATTGTTTTAAGAATAGTAATTGATATAAGAACGAAAAACTCATTTAGTTTATAAAAATACCATTTTTTTAGTGGTAAATATATTTAACATGACCTATTAGGAACTTCAAATTAAGGTAAACAACGTTAAAGAGCACAAAAAATTATGTTTGCATTTTAGCACAAAGGTCGCCCACTTGTGTATTTATTAGGAACTTATTGACTTTTATTTTTATTTATTTATGAAATAAATTTTATAAATGCTACAAACCTCGAAAGGAATTACGTACTATATAACTTTTATACATTTTTTAATATGACACAAAAATAATCATATTGGTTGAAGGATCGAGATTTGGCACTCCACTACCGCCTGATATTTCATGGCTTTCTCTTCGTTTAAAGCAAATTCAAGAGTTTATAACCTTCACGAAAGTAAGCCATAGAAACTATAGAGGTAATTTCACTTTGATATTCAACTTCTATTGAAGAAGATTCTATAATTAGTCAAGATACGTTTATTTTTTTTTAGAATACCAGATATCGTAGTAAATAGGAAACGTCAGTAAAATTTCATTTATTTAAAATGGTTTGACAACTAAAAATGTTATGTAATATTTTATAAACAAATTATTTTTATATAACAAAAAATACACTTTGCTATTTTTAGTTTTGATTTTTTGTAAAATTCGTCAATTAAATTCGTAAAATTAATTTTAAAAAAATCAGAAATTTATTTAGACGAAATAATGATGTCTAACTAATTTTAACCTGAACCCTTTATCCAGATATGATTCTTTTATTTATGATACAATATAACCATCTAAGTTACTTCAAAGGAATTAAATATGTTGTCTGAAAATAAAATGAACGATAAGAGCCTTCGTGAAACGAAAACATGTCATGTATATTTCTTAACGAATCAATATTTGAACGAAATAAAAATTTGTGAACAACGCCAACGTGTCAAATCATTTTCAGATGTAATATTTTATAATTAAATTTATATTTTATAATAATTTTATATTTAAAGCTTAAATATAATTTAATTTCACAGCTAATAAATTTTCTAAGATTTTGCAAAACATTCAATACTTGAGTAATAAAAATTCATTGCTCTTACACTTCTAGCATTGATACTTTTTGAATAAAGAGTAAAGTTGCCTAGCTATTTTCTTACGTTTTTTAAATTTATTTACGAAAAATGCACCACATTAAAATACTAATAATTCAATTTTTCAGGAACCCTCTTTCAGCTCAACAACTAAGCATGTTTATAAACAGCTTATTGGTGACGTGTCACAATCCTCGTCAGTTCTATGGACAGAACCTGATAAAGCGTTTAAAAGAGCAAGTGCAGTCTACGACTAACTTCACGCATCCAATAGCATATTTAACTCTCTGCAATGCTAAAGAACCATGGCCGCTTAAAGCATTTACAGATATTAACAAAATATTGAGCACCGATGCTGATTATCCCTTTGTTAGAGGTAACTCGACATGTTTTCCAATTGCAAGTTTGCATTATAAAATAACATGCAAAATTTATTGTTGCATTTATAGAAGTAATTAATCTTACTTAATTCGGGTGTGGTGATTTCAAATCTGAATTTAGTTTAGTTTCTAAAGCTACAAATTTTTTTCGAAAAGATATATTTAGATTAGTTAATTTTTTGTTTGTATGTGCTAAAGTTTATAAAGAATGTATAGGCTTATAAATATTTGTCTGTTCCTTTGAAAATAACACTTAAGACAAAAAAAATGACCTTAATTTAATCCAACATAAAGTGAAATGCATTATTGCCTTCTTCCTACCACTCCTTATGTAGCAGAGAAGGGGGAACACTTAGCATTCTCTTGGGTGAATTTTTAATAAAAAATCTGGGTTGGGAATGTAATGTTAAATTGCATAAAATCTATAGCTTACAGGAGGAAACCAAAATGTCTAAGATTCGTTCAAAAATCTCATGTGGCGATCATGTAACATAAAAAAAAGTTTTTCCCCATTGTAATTTATACTAAAATTTAGTCTGTTAATTTAAGACTTTTATAATGTAACATTGATTGACTTACTTTGCTTTATTTACAAAAATTGGGCACCTGGGCCGTGCAGAAGACCCATATCCCATGCATCAGGAAATTTTACAAAAGTTGAAATAAAATACTGCTGGAGTTCAGCAGTCTATGGGGTGGCTGTTACTGAGCATTGTTTGAAAATTTAAAATTATTCGTTATAATAAGTTAATAATAAAAAATTTCAGTAGTTTTAAATATTTTATAAAATATTGAGACGTCTATCTTTACTTTTTCTGAAAATTGTCAACTTGTACCATTTAATGAACTAAATGCATTTTAAATTAATTTTGAAAGTGATTTTTTTTATCTTAAAAATAGCTTTTAGTTTTAAGCTTTCTACAAATGTGCGAATGTGCATCGATTGTTGTTCCTTGATACAGATTATAATTTTATGTTAGAAGAAGAGAAAAGTCATTGTGGGAATCGGGCTATAATAGACACATGAAATAGTTAATATTATTTATAAAATCAAAAATTCTCAGAAAATTTTGTCAGATTGGCATAGCTGTGTTACATTTTCATATGAAGTTGCAAGGCTAAAAACACTGTATTGTTAAGTAAAAAACTGAAACAAATAATGTTTTTATGATGGAAAAGTAACAGCCTAATTTTTGTTTTAATAGCAACTTGTAGCAACTATAGCAACTTGTAGCCACTATAGCAACTATTTAATAGCAACTACTTCTATTCATCATTTTTAACAATAGGAGATATTACCAGTAGTACCGATAACAACAATTAAATGAACAACATTGGCTTTGATTACAATTAGGTGATTTTCTTATTGTCTTCGGAAATGGAACAAAATCTCATTTTTAGTCGTTTTTGATTTTATATAAAAGAACGAGGCATTCTATCTTATTATAAATTTGCTGTCACTTTCTATTTTAAATTCATTAGTTATTCTGAGTAGTGTTACGTTTTCACTGCATTGTTATGAATACTGCAATGAATAAAAACTAAATTTTATTCCACAGACTATCAAGCATTTGCTGTAATGGCAGTTTCGTGTTATGAGAACCAAACGAAACTGCTGAATAAAGTTGAATATAGCAGTTTAAAAACCAATTATGAAAACGTCATTAAACTTTTTAAGGAGACTCAACTTTCTGATGGAAGTTTTGGAAATCTGCATACAACTTCATTGATAACCCAGGTAGAAATTTTTGCATTTATTATGTCAAAACAATTCTTTAGAATGTTGAAGTCCTCATTGCAAAACAGGTATACACTAAATTATAGCGATAAACTGAAATAGTAAACGGAATTAAGGCGACAAAGGGCTTTCAATTTTTTTTTTGAAATTATCAAGGGATTTGCTTGAAATTTTCAGGATACATTTATATTGCTAAAAACAACTTTTATACAAAATTTCAAAAAAATATTTCAAAATTTAAGAAATTGAAAAATTTAAATTTTTCAATTTTTTATGTTTTTTTTATATTACTCCTCGCGTCTGAAATTTCGTCAAAATGACAAAATTCTTTTAAAATATTACATATTATGTAATATTGAAAAAATTGTTGGAAGTACTTTTTTTATTTTTTATTATAGAAACAAGTAACATTAAAAAAACAATAAAAAACCTACATTTTTAGAAAAAAATCATGATACCTCTATAAAATATCAGGTATAAAAAAAATACTATTCACGTAATTCAAAAAACTTTTCCAACAAAATGTTAATAATATTCATAAATATTTAGCATTAAATTCTCAGGTCAATAGAATGAAAATTCATTACGCTGGAACAGTTTGAAAATTGTAAATTTCTCAAAAAAGACATTTTGAGAAAAATGACTTTTAGTACTTTTTCATTGCAAATTTTGCATCTGAACAAATATTTCTTGTTTTTTATATAAATACCTATAAATATTGTCTAATGAACTAGTTTAATAATTATATACTTTAAATTTTTTTAAAAAAATTAACAAAATATTCAACTAATTTTAAATTAATTTTAAACTAAACTAATTTTAACAGTTACCTGCAGACAAAAAAAGGTTAAAAAAAGGGGCGTGGTCAAAACTGAAATGGCCATAACTTCATCAATTTTGCTCTTATTCCAGAAATTTTTCTTTAAAAATGTTCAGTTAAATGTTTAAATTTCAAAAATATAAAATGTAAAATATCGATTTTTTGACAAATTTTTGCTTCTTTGAAAGTCCCTTGTCACCTTAAACTCTGAAAGCCAAAGATTTGAGGAAAATCGACTTTTCAATGCCAGCAATAAAACGTAACAAGGGTTAAAATCTGCTTTACCACATGGTTAGGTTTAAAAATAATAGCTGAATAGTTAAAGCATAAGTTCGTCTTACGTAACTATTAAACTGAATGTCATTTGCCAACAGTGAAGACTATACCCCTCCAAAACTTGCTGTTTTTTCCGCGAATAATTCTTCCCAGGTGCAAATAAATAAAAGCAAAACTTTTACAACGAATAGAATTGTATTAGTCTTTTGTCATTCTTGGAATGCTTGAAGAATAGCTACTACATTTTGTATACAACAATTAAAATTATTAAAATCTTGTATAAAATTATTTTATTTCTAATTTATTTCATTATAAATACATTCCCTTACTACCACTCAATAAAATATTTTCTTACGCAAATTGTGTAACAGTTGGAGAGTTTTAACGATTACTATTCTATTTCATTATGAAGTGCAGAGACGCCAACTTTCTCCGGTCAGCAAATATATATTTTAAAGTGGTAGTTTATCAATTGTGATTCTTGGTTTAATAAATTCAATTTAGTAGATTTTTATCCACCACTATTTCTAAATAATTCGTAGGCTTATATTACTCACCACTTTATAGTATTTATGTCACGATGTTATTTTAAAAAGCAAGCAAAAATAGTCGAATATTTGCCGTTTTTTTAATTAGTTTGGCGTGTCCGGAGCAGTTGGCATCTCTGGAAGAGGCATAAATACGTTTATTTAAAAAAGTTTTTTTATATTTAAATGAAAGGAAAGTTTTTTTTTTCCCTTTAATTATTACTTTATTTTCAAAAATTCTTTGTAACATATGGATTCAAAGTTTACCCTAGATAGTTGTATCATCAATACATCATTGTGGGTGTGGATGTTTTTTTTATTCCATATAAATATTATTTATGAAACAATTGTATTAGCACTGTTTACTTTAAAAAAAACGGAAACTATTCTCTGAATAAGACTGTGGATAAGGGACCAGTTTACCCTGATAAGTTATTTTAAACCTCTAGTACTCAAGGTTTGCGTTTCAGGAGTGTTTTCTTTTCTTTCTTTTTTTCAATTATTTCATATTTTTAGATATTATGTGAGATAAACAAAATATATTTGTCCATTGTAATATATTAAAGATCTTAAACTTCTTATTTCAATATTAAATGCATAGAGCTGTAATACAAATAGGGCAAGCCCGCTGTTACATTCCCCATCTCCCTTCAAATATCAGAGGTCCCTCTCATTCAAACGATTTTGTAGGAGAAATAAGAGAAGCATGTGGCAGTTAATATGCCTTACATTCTTCAGTCGATTCGTGTTTTGTACTTATAAAGGCAATGGAAGAAAGCTAAAAGTTTCAAGAGCGTTAAAATTAGCAGAACAGGTAAATATTTTATAATTTTTTGACAAGACTTTACTAAATTAAATTTTATTTTAGAATTTTAACTGTTTTAAAGTGTGAAAACTGTTCAAAATTGTTAAAAAATTTACGAAATTAAGAACAGAGTTTTGAATGGTATTTATAACAGAAAAATGTATCGTCTGAGAAAACTTATCATAATTTGATTTAGAAGTTTTCAAAGATATCTGTAGAAATAAAATAATAATATTTTATTTGTAACATCACTGTATAGTAATTTTTTTTTATCGATTTTTCAGTATTGATGTACATAAAAAACCCGTTAAACTTTTATTTTGATATAAAATTTTTTAATAGTATTTGTAAAATTGCGAATATCTTTTAAGATACTTGAAATGTTTGAAAAAAATTACAAGAAATGATTTCAGACATGACAAGCAGACGAAAAATAAAATAAAAATTGAAAAGAAAAGAAAATTCTATCTCAATTTTTAAAAAAATCCGTTTCCTTCTTTTTAACTGATTTTATTTTAACATTAGAGCTGCTGTGATAAGGTTAAACAGCTTTAATTTTTTAGATTTTTTTAGCGCGGTTTTAACATTAAAGAGCTCTGGCAATTTCAGTTGAAAAACACTTGACGATAATATTAAAGAACTAATAATTTAGTGTTAAAGAATAGTTTAGTGTCAGAATAAATTGGAATAGTTTAATGTTAGAAGAGTTCTTTTCTTTCAAAGGCAAAAAACGTAAATAAACGAAAAAGAAAAGGAAAAATAATTTTAACCTACTACATTTTAGCACTAACGTTAAAAAAATTATATATTGAAAGTGAATAATTATATATACTCATATTTTTAGTTTTAATTGGGTTCTTATTCGTTTATATATTCGTTTATATCTTATTCATATATATTTGTAAGATACAGTTGAAAGTATAAATTTGGATTTTAGAATTAATGGAATGAAATAATCGGTATTAATATGATATTTTAATGAAAAGAAGAGCATTCAAAAAGCTCATTTATATAATTAAAAAAATATTGTAATTCCAAAAAGCCATAATCAACTTACATGTGAAATGGATATGGTCCTCCCTTAACAATTTTTTCTGTGTGAATACGGCCAAATAAATCACCTTATTTTAAGATTTTTAGCTTCAAAATTCCAGCATCAATTATCTTCCATTAAAATAACAAGGAGAAGCGAAAGGTTGAAAATACTCTATCTCGATTCACTCTTTCTCTATCCCCACAATCAAGTGGCTTCTTTATGAGAACCAAAATTTTCGGGATGTGCGTGCTAATATAATCAAAGAAATATGATTTTTCAAAACTTAAGAGGCAGCGTATATGCGATTTTTATAATTTCACATGATTGAAACTCAAGGATACATTCCTAGGGTTTGGGGTATTTAATTGATACCCCACTTTCTCAAATTTTTAGTCTTTCTTTTTTAAACTATTCATTAGCGTTGTTTCTAGTTTGGTACTAATTGCAAATTTCTGAAATTTCCTAATAACAGACAGCCCAATACTCAGAACATCTTACTTCGACATGGAAAGCACTATGATTTTCATCAAAAGGACTCTTTAAAACCTTCTGCTTAATAAAAACGTGGCATATCATTATACATTATATTTCGCCAAGTTCTTCATTTACCTAGATTGTTAACACTGCCTGTAATAAACATTTTAGGCTTTAATATCGAGTGGTCAGGAGTATGAAAAAGACTGGAAGCTCAATGCAACTGTTCATTATCTATTAGAGCAACTGTCTTCTCCTCATGATGTTGTCTCTAGTTCTCTAACTCTTCCTGTTCTCAATGCAAAAAGTATAAGTGACATCTCAAAGGTTAATTGCACTTTGAATCCTAGAAGAAATGGATATGGTAATATATTTAATTAATCATCTCTTTTTTTTTCCAATCGAATCAGCCACTATTAGATTTAAAGAAACGTGTCTTCTGTATTGAAAATATATGAACATAAATCAACCAAAAAGTTTAAATTACTAAGACTCAAAAATTTTATCTTTTGCACTCCGTATTTTTTCAACGGTGTAAGAAATCACTTTAAGTTTACAAGACAAAACTTTACCTGCCAACTTCTATGCTCTTCCAAGAAGCTTTTTTCTAGCTATAGCAAAATAAAATTTGAACTGTGAGAAGACTTTTCATTTAAATTCAGCCCAATATTAAGAACATTAATTGAAGTCCTGTAATTCCTGTATGTATGTTTGTATTAAACGTAACGGTAGTTTCAATCACTCTAAATCAAATTTGTTACTACAAGCTTAATTTAAACGTATAAATGAGGCTAATAGATAAATTGTAAAATTAAATCTTCCGGAAGAATTGGCAGGTATGAAAGTAGCGTTTTTATAAACTTTTGAACCATTTACATGAAGTGGTGTGAAAAATAACTTCAAATCTAACTTTAAATCTATTAAAGAATTATTCATAAAAATATAAATTTTGCTATCACTAGAAGAAATTTTTCAAAGTTAGCATCCATGCATATAATTTTTTTTCAATGCCCACCTGGAGAATGACCTTTCGTCTTACAGGCATCTGAAGTTCAGATTTGTTGACCACTTTTTCAGAGCACTTTATTAGTTGGGTCAACGTTGTTCCCCACAGTAAGGACAGATAGTACAGAGAATGAAAGAACATATATGCATTCTCCGGGATTCGAAACCAGAACTTTTCTGGTGCAAGACTAGTTCCCTAAACCCCTACACAGGCCGGTCGGCGCAAGCTGTAATATCTAAAAACCACTAAACATAGTGGTCATTAAACATTAGGATGTAAAAATTGTAACAATTAACATAGTGCGTAATTTAAATTTGGCACTTGAGCTAGATAAGCACCCTAGGGGTGCAAAGGGTACATTTCTTTCTTAAAAACGATGTATGAACAAACGCCACACTAAAATAAAAATATATTTAATTTGATTTACGTATCTTAACATAAGTTTATTTGCCGACCGGCCTGTGTAGGGGGCAGGGAACGGTCCTTGCATCAGAAAGGTTCTGGATTCGAATCCCGGGCAAGGTATGGATGTTCTGTACTATCTGTCCTTACTGTGGGAGCGACGTTGGCCCACCTAATATAGTGCCCCTGTAAGAGAGGTAAACAAAATCGCCCTGTAGATGCCTGAATTGACGGATGTTAACACAGGCGGGCATTAGAAAGAAAGAAAAAAAAAGAAAGAAAAACATAAGTTTATATGCTTAAAGTAGAAAAGTGCACAAATTTAAAAAGACTTATTAGTTTTCAATTGTATGAACAAAGCAATCAAAACAAAGATTTAATAAATCCTTAATTAAAGATTTAATTAATCTTTTATAAAATAAACATTCAGCTCGTAGATGACATAAGCAATTTTTTTAAATAACCCATTGAAAATGTATTTTACTTAATAATTTCTAATTTTATATAAAAGCTAAAAAGTGCCCGAGCTTGTTTAGGCTGCAGATTAAGGTCTGTGCATTTAAAAGAAATTCTCTTTAAACTTGGTATAAAGGTATAAGTACTACAAGAAGAAATTTCTTCATCGGTTAATCCTGTACTTACAAAAACACTTAATCTGCTTTTTTAAAAACCTTGATGACAATTTATATTTAAGTGAAGCAAAACTGACTCATAGATAACGTGAAAAGACAAAAGCATCAAAACCAGTATGATTTTTTCCAGTCATAAGTTGAGTTTGACCAGCTATTGACATCTAATATAAATTAAATACGGTTTCGTGGATGGCTCGATAACATTTCAAAGTATCTTGTGAGAAGACAAATTTCTGCTCAGATACAGGGTTTGGACAAAATTTCGAAAACACTTCTATACTAACTCAATGTAAACATTATTTCTTTTTTGCAGCAAATATCTTGGAAGATTTTACATAACGAAACCATTGGTACGATTCCAAAAATCGCGTTTGAAGCTTTTGCAAAAATTGGTGTCCTCTTTATTCATACAAACTTTGCATCGATCAAAACAAGTGTAGGAAGTTAAGAGCTTATTTTCCTTTCTTTATTAGCACTATACCTAACCACCCTTAATCACCACTGTAATTAAAAAGCATTCTTTTATAAATTTTCCAATTTTATAGATTGATTTTGAAATTGCTGGTATTTAAACATAAAAAATGCCTGTCAATTTCCTCGCCTATTTTATATCGATTCAAATTTTGTATGCATGCGACGAGCACCAATTCTAAAAGCATCAAGCATAATCTTTGAATTTGAGCTTACAGCTTTGTTAGGTAAAATCTTTCAAAACAGTTGCTGTTAAAAAAAGGATTATATACATAGAGTCAGTGTAGAAATGTTAGCATATTTTTGTCCAACTACTATAACTCTTAATTTGGTATCGTTAAATTGTTTACTTTTAATATATTTCTCAAATTTCGTAAAATGAAAGGAAATATTCCAGTGTCATATCAATGTTTCTACTTTTAACCAATTGTTAATCTTCCAGATAACCAAGCTTCTGAAACAAAAGACTATACAGGTCCAAAAATGCGTGTCCAGTATTCACTTTACGTGGGAGACGAAAAAGATGTGATCCATACGATTTCCCTAAGAGTTCCAGAGAACTACACGGCTTATGAAGTGATGAAATTAGCTGAAACAGAAGATCCAAAATACACGTAAGTATTTTAAGTTCTGTCCTCTCTGTTATCTCCTTCAGGGACGACGGGATAAAAACTTGCTCTATTTCAATGTTTTAAAAGTTTTTATTATCTCTAAACTATGCGGGTATTAATTAATCACTTTTTTTATTGGTTAAATGGTCTGAGAGAACAGAAGGATCACTCCTCTGAAGCGTTTACCATTTCAGACAGTGACGTCACGGCGCTGCATCAACTTCTTACTATTAAAACAGTGTTTCGCATGTAACTAGCATTCCGGCATTCTTTTTTTGTGATTTATTTTCATATATTTTTTTTTCTACTTTATGATGTTATTTTCATCGCATCTGATTACACAAATTTAACATTTGTAGTCAATATCAGCTTGTGCGATTGCAACTTGCAAGAATTCTCTGAAACACAAAAATGAAAAACTTAATTCTTTTGTTACCCCCGAAAACGCTAAAAATGTCAACTGAGGAATTAGAAAATTATCTAGAAGAATTTAGCCTGCTGTAAATAAAAACACAATATGTTTATTCTGTTTTCTAAGAACTTTTAAATCAATACCCGTCCCGTCACTTCGAAAAGAAGAGCAGACAAAAATGTTGAAGATAAAAAAAAAAGTGAACAAATCAAATTCAAAATAAAAATAAATAAATTATTAAAATCCTGAACTACAAAAATAAAATTTATTAATGCTTGAATTTCTTCCAATTTCATGATCTATTTTTTAATGTCATAATTCTAAATATTAATGTTTCATTTTAATTAAACGCTTTAATGATAAAATATGTTAAAATTAGGTATCTAAATTTTGGAGGTAGCCGGTTCAAATCCCGTCGTAACACCAGCTGTATCTTTGTGATGTTCTTTTAGTCTGCATGTGGGTTAATTTATGATTTAACACTTAATTATGGATTTAATAAATTCATTTTTGAATAATGTTGTCTACCACTACATTCTTGCAACGTAAACAAATTTATCAAACCTGTAGTTCGTTTCATATTTTAAATTTTGGTCCATTTATTTTTGCCCCGTGAGAAGTTCAATCTATGTACACAACAATTTTTTCTTTTTAAATCGTTGATTTTTCCAAATCTATTGCTAGAAAAGGATTGCACAGCTTCTTTTTAACCCTTATTGTTATTGCGTAGAACTTTTCCTAGAGGTATTTTTTTTTTGCCCCCCAAAATATATTACTGATGTAAATGCATATACTTTGGTCTGAAATTATGCATTTCTAATTTCTACCAACAACGTTCCTACTGTCTGAAAATCTTTTTAACACGTTCACGCCGGGGTGACCCACCGGTGGGTCACGCTAGATTGTCTCATCTTAGCAGCGCACCGGAGTAAAAACCGGCAACAATAAATTTCATTTTTTAGTTTTTTTCCGGGAATAATAAAAATCCGTAATTACCAATTGTTTTTAACAGATCAAATTTTATATTGAATTGCTTCTTCGCCGTGATGAATTTCCTTACAGTGAATTGTTATTGTTGAGAATAGATTAACTCCTCCCGAATATTATCTAATATTGAAATAGTTCTTTTACCAGTATTTTCTCTTTTCCCGTACCAGTATTTTCACTTTTCCTGTACTAGTATTTTCACTTCCACCCACAACTCCAGCAAAAGTTCAACCAATTAAGCATATAAAAGNGGATAGGGGCCGCTGCGCGGCCCAGGTGCCCAGTTGTTTTTAAATAAAGTAAAGTAAAGTAAAGTATTTTCACTTTTCCCGGTGTGAACGTGTTAAAGTGGTAGCAAAAGTGAGATATAACTAGATGTTTTTCGACCTCGGGTCGTACATTTTTTTATTTGACCGTAAGTGTTCATATTTGGATTAAATACAGGCGGGCGAGATTGCAGAGCAGATTTTACGGTTTAAGGCTGCTAATTTTCGGTAAAGACTAAGTACTGGTAGCAAGAACATATCATTTTTATCTTTAGCTTGGAGAAATAAACTGCTCATAACTACCACTATTTAGTGTCACTTTAATACATGTGTGATCCGCAATGATAATATGCAGCTTAAAAAAAATATACTTTTTTTTTAACTCTTCGTGAATCGAGAGAGTTATGAAAAATCACGGAGGTCATAAAAAAATTATACAGTTCCTAAAGAGATATCAAACCGAATTTTGCAGAAGATTTTTCCCAGTGGTAGTGAAGAGACGAATAAATTTTTAATTTGTCGAATTTCGCCACCACTTAAAACCATAACATGTTTATTAATGTGTTTCTTTTAACAAAATTATTTTTTCATCTTAGCCGGTATCTATGCTTAAACAAACATGCATAAGTTAGTGCAAGGTATTTCAGTCGAATATTAATTTTTGTATTAATTTCTTTACAGATTTAAATACAAAAAGATTTCTGGCATGATGTATGTGTATCAAATTGATAAAGCAATTAATGATCCTGAAGGAGGCTATTTCTGGACTCTTTATCAAGGCCAAGAAACTATTAATGCAACTCTTAACCACTACACTTTGAGTAAGTCGTTCATAAACTACAATTTACACTAATTTACTACTTCGGAGATGTCTCCGAATTAGTCAAAATATTTTAAAAAGCGTTAGTTTACTACCATTAATTTCTTCAAACCATTTTAGTAACGATAATATTATTTAAAAAAATTAAAAATTTACTCGAATTATGTGTTTCTAATTATCTTGTCTTCGCCGGTCACCGGTGACCTCCGTGGCAGTACGAACAAACTCAGTGCCGGTCACTGGTAACCCCCTGTTAATATTATTTATTTCTCCATAT